TATGTTCTTTTTCTTTTTTTTTCCTTTTCATGTTTATGAATTTTATCTTTTTCTTTCAATCTTTCATTATATTCATATTTGTGTTTTTTTTCATTTAGAATTTCATTCATTAAAAAATTTTTTAATATACCCAATTTAGTAAATTTAATGAACCAATAAATTTTAAATTTTATTTGTAAGATTTTTTATGATTTACTTGATTTAGTAATTTCATTCATTAAATGATGAACTAATAAAAATAATTTTTTCTTTTATTGTTTAATGCAAATTTATTTATGTATAATAAATTAAAATATAGTTATTTTTTTTTAATATTAATTTTGATTGGTTTTTTTAAAAGATTTTTTAATATACCCAATTTAGTAAATTTAATGAACCAATAAATTTTATTTGTAAGATTTTTTTTAATGATTTACTTGATTTAGTAATTTTATTCATTAAATGATGAACTGATAAAAATATTAAATTTTAACAATTTAAAAAAAATAAAAAAAACAAGACAGTTTAAATAAAAATATAAACAATGAAAAAGTTAAATATTTTTTCAGCATGTTTGTTTTGTTGACAAAAAAAATAAAATGTAATGAGAAAAGACCTTGTGAACAATGTTTGAAAAATAAAATTGTTTGTAAAGCAATTAAAAATAATCAAAAACGTGGACAAAAGAGAAGAGATGATTTTGATAAACAAAAACTATAAATAGAATTTAACCACTCGTTAGTGGTATTAAGATTGGTGATCGACATTATGAGATATATATTTGTATTTATTTTATTTTTATCATTGGGAGTATTAGCACAAGATGATGATGTTATTGTCGGTATTGAACTTCCAAAATTATATACATGGGATTTTAAAACAGGACAATACAAGATGATTCTTAACAAAAATAAACAAATTACAAAAAATTATAAGGGTGGGATATATGTATGTTATGGTGATATTTACGAAAATATTTGTAAAAAACCCAAAAAAAAGAGGAAAAGGATGTTTAAAAAGATAAAACATTATTAGTTTAAATTTAATATAAATAAAACTATAGTTTATTTTTTTTTTAAAATAAAAAAAAATGGAAGTTAAAAAAATTTATTTATTTTTTTTTATTGTTTTATTAATTATTAATAATATATTCGCAGAAGATGTTGTGGGTGTATTGTTAATAATACCAAAAAATCAAAAAAGTTGTTCAATATGTAAAAATGACAATGTTAGAATGTTAGGTTTTAACAAACGTACATATATTGATATTGGTTGACATAAGAGAAAATGAGAAGATAAACAAAACAGAAAACCAACCAAAAAACAAGGAAAAAGAAAAAAGGTTAAATGTAGTATATGTGGTAAACATGGTTTTAATAAACGTTCTCATCCTAATTATTAAAAAAAATAAATGTAATTTTACTTTATTTTATTTTATTATTATTATTTTTAAAAAAACAATGTATAAATTCATGATTATTTTTTTTACAAATAAAACAA